CCCCCCCCCCAACCTCCTCAGAACTCCACCTTGCAGGCAGGGAAGGTCTCATCCTGCATGGCCACGGTGCTGTTGCTGCCCAGCACCGTGATGCCCAGCTCCTGCTGCCGGTCGTGGGTCTCCTGGTACCACTCGTGCATCACCAGCGAGTCGAAGGTGGGGATCAAGGTCACCTGTGGAGACACCGGGGACACCTCGTCACCCACCCCCCCCCCCAGCAGTGGGAAGGGGCCGATCCCAACATTTCAGGGACCAACATCACCTGCAGGGACACCCACCACACCCTGTCACCCCCCAGGACTGGAAGGGGCTGATCCCACCCCACCTTGCCACCCCCCCGAACACCAGGAAGGGGCTGATCCCCCCCGCCCCAGGTACCCGTGGGGGGCTCACCTGGATGTCGATGCCCCACTGGTGTTTGCCGCTGAGAAGGGCGTCGAGGAGGGGCCGCAGGACCCCCTCCTTCAGGTGGTCGTCCCCGCTGACCACGTAGCAGAGGGAGCGGACGCGCCGGAAGAACTCCTCGTCCACGGTGCGGGCGCTCCAGGAGCCGGGCAGGTACGCCAGGTCCACGTAGATGGGGGGGCCCTGGGGGGCTGTGGTCCGTGTGCCTGTGGGGCAGAGAGGGGATGGTGGTCTGCAGCAGCCCCCGATCCCCCCAAACCCACCGCTGGTGTCCCGTCCCCCACCCTGTACCTGCGGGTGACGCCCGGCCCGCTCCCGGCCGGGCTCCAGCGCTCCGGGTGGTCCCAGGGGTACGGGGGTCCCCGAGGGAGGGACCCTTCTTGTCCCCGGGGGGCAGCCTGGCCTTGTCCCCGCTGTCCCGGGCTGAGCTGGCGGGACCCCTGGCCTTGGGGGCCGAGGAGGGGTGTCGGGGGGGCTCGGCCTTCGGGGTGGCGGGAGCGGAGCCCACGCGGGACGGGATCCTCTTCACTTTGCCGGGGGGCTCCTTCCTGCCGGGGGGCAGCGCCTCGGGGTCCACCATGCAGATCCCGGGCTGGGCAGGGATGGGGCAGGGGTCCTTCAGGGGGGCCGGCAGAGGGTCGCAGGCTCTGGCCACGGCGCGGGGCGGCCGCTCCGAGTCCTCGTCCGACTCCAGCCCGTCGGCCAGGAGGGAGGGACAGTCCTCGGTGGCCGGGGGGACGTCGGAGTCGGAGAGGGTGGGCAGCGACTCGCTGACGGAGGTGGGGGGGGTCTCCCCGGGGTGGCCCCGGGGTGGCACCAGCTCCTGTGACGGGTCACTGTCCGACAGCTCCCGGGGGCTGGTGGCGGCCGAGGGCGACCGCTCGGACTTGGGGTGCTCGAACTCGCAGGGCGACACCAGGCACAGGTCCACGTCGTGGGGGGACTCGGAGCGGCGGCCGGGCCGTGGTGCCACGTCCCCGTCGGCCCAGGGCGGGTGGTGGCAGGGCCGCAGCGGCAGCGACAGCCCCCCTTTGGCAGGCTCCGGCTCCGGCGTGTCCCCGGTGCCCCGGGAGCCCCGGCCCTCCTCCGGGGGGGACTCGCTGACCGGCGGCAGCACCTGCTCGAAGGAGACCGAGAGCGACTCGTCCACCTCGGTGGAGTGCGGGGAGCCCACCTCGGCCGGCAGCGAGGGCGTGGTGATGGTGGGGGACACGTCGGGGACTTCATCCTTGAAGGGGCTGAGGGACAGACACCCCGCCTGCTTCTCCTGCCCGGAGCCGTCCTGCCCGGCTTTGCCCCCTCCCGCCGGCCACGTGTTCGGCTGCCGGGCGGTGCCGGTGCCCGGCTCCTCCGCGCCGTCGTCCACCGGGGACTGGTGGAAGGGCGTGTGCCCGGCGCTGGCCGGCCCCGAGCTGGCCGGGGACATCATCTCCAGGGTCTTCTCCTCGGAGCTGCCGCAGGGGTCCTCGGCGCCCTCGGGGCCGTGGTTGAGCAGCCCGGTGGGCGTCAGGTCGAAGTTGACGCTGCGGTCGCTCTTGGGGGTCTTGGCCATGGGCGAGGGGGGGCACACGGCCCTCAGGGGGCTGCTCTCCAGGTAGCGGAGGCGCTGGAGGCTGTCGGGGTCCTCCAGGCCGTTCTCCAGGCAGGAGGAGTCCCCCGGCCGCCTGGCCCCCCCGTTCTCCAGGGATAAAGGCTCCAGCTCGCTCTCGGCCGTGGCGATGCCCTCATCCGTGGATTCCTCCTTCCTCCTCCTCCCGCCGGATCCCGGCTCCCGCTCGGCCTCCGGCAGCATGTCCTCGGGGGAGGAGGACTTGGAGCCATCCGACATCCCCGGATCCTTCCTGGCACCCGCCTCCCGCGGGGTTTTAGCCTTGGGTTTCTCCAGCTCCTTCTTGAGGGGTGGCTTCTTGGTGCTGCCGGCCTTGGCCAGGGGTTTGCGGGTCTCCGGGACCGGTGTTTTCCGTGCCGGAATCTTGGCCGGAGCCTTGGCCTCTGCCTTGCTCTCCTTCATGTCCTTCCGCAGCGTCTCAGCCTTCACCTCCTTCTTCACCACCTTCACCTCCTTCTTGGCCTCCCCTTTCCCCTCGGCCCCCTCGTCCTTCTTTGGCAGCTTCTTCTCCTCTTTCTTGGCAACTGGCTCCTTCTTGGGAGCCGCCTTCTCCTTGTTCAGCTTCACCTTCACGTCTCCCTTCGCCTTCTCCAACGTGGAGTCTGCCTTGGCTCGAGCATCCTTGGCTTTCTCCTCTTCCAACCCCGTTCTGGCCGTCTCCCCCATGGATTTTGGCTTCTCCTTGGCCCCAGCCTTCACCTCCTTCTTCTCCACCTTTGGAGTCTTCTCCTTGGGCACCGGTGCCCCAGCCTCCACCAGGCTGAGCTTGGAACCCGACTTCAGGCTCTCCTTGCTCTCTGCCCTCCTCTGCTTCAGCTGCTTCTCCGGCGGGGACGCCGACACCCCCTTCAGATCGTTCTTGGTGACCACGGGGTGCTTGAGGAACTCCAGGTGCTTCACCTTCTCCAGCCCCTCCAGGATGCGGGCCTGGGGGGTGCAGCCGGGGAAGAGCACCCGGATGATCTTCTCGTAGCGGCTCACGGGGTGCCAGACGAGCAGGACGCACACGGAGGTCAGGCACTGCAGGGGCAGGTCCTGCTCCTTGGGGTACCCGTTCCCCGCCCACTGCTGCAGGAGGAACTCCAGCTCCTTGGTGCCCTTCACGGGGTTCAGCACGTACATGTCCAGCCGGCCCACTCCCATCTTCTGGAAGAGCACGGTGGGCTCGGCGCGGGGGCCACTGTCCCGGGCCAGCAGGTTGGGGCGGATGCCCAACTTCTCCAGGTAGTGCAGGGTCAGGGCGGCCTCGTCGCAGCTCTTCAGTACCCGGGAGTTGCCCTCGATGTCCTTCAGCTTCTCGGAGACGTTGAGGAAGACGACGCCCAGCTCCGGGGAGATGAGGTTCTTGGCCCAGTCCCCGTTGCCCTGGGAGCTCTGGGACTGGGATGGGTCCTCCTCCAGCTCGGCCAGCTTCCTCTGGAGCAGGCTGTTGATGCCAGGCAGGCTGTCCGTGCCCGCGTGCGTCACCAGGATGGAGTCGATGCGGTCCAGGTGCCGGACCAGCTTCCAGAAGGAGGATTTGGGGTTGGAGCCCCCGTTGACCAAGACGTTGAAGCCGTTGACGGCAAAGAAAGCAGAGTCCCCTCTCCCGCCCGGGAAGATATAGCAGCAGGGCTTGGAGAGCTTCAGGAACCCCACCATGGTGGGGGGCTCCAGCAGGTCGAAGGGGGACTGGGGCTCCAGCGACTCTGACAGGTACTCCATGAACTCCTCCAGCCCCTCCATCTCCGGCAGGACGCAGCCCGGGTTGTAGCGCAGCTCGATGAAGTCCTGGAGGTTGTGATGCTCCAGGCCCGAGTCCCTCCACTCCCCAAAATCGGGGCAGCTGATGGTCAGCCTGGCCTTGGCCGAGGGGTCCGCGGAGCTCAGGATCTCCCCCACCTGCGAGGGGACGGGGACAGCCGGGGCTTCAGGGGGGAGGTGGCACCAGGGACAGCGATGTGACAGCCACAGGAAGGGGGGGCCCTGCCTCACCCCCCTTCCCTGGGGATCCCACATTCCCGTTACCCACAAAAGGGGGCCCTTCCCTGGTTCCCTCCCAGCCCTGGTGTGGCTCAAGGCCGGGATGTGCCCCCCCACAGCGTGGCAGTGAGGGGGGGACACTCCAGCAGCCCTTTGGAGCAGCGGCTGATCCATCCTCCTCCCGCTGCCGTGCCCAAATCCCGCCCAGACACCGGCGACGTGTGCAGACAGCACAGACAGCGGCTCCGGCAGCGCCCGCCCGCAGCCCCCCCCGGGGGGGGGGGGGGAGGGGGGGGGGGGGGGGGACAGGCGGCTCCTTCCCGAGGCTCCCCCCCCGGAGCACCACACCTCCTTATCCGTGAAGATCTGGATGAAATCCCGGAGGGAGAAGCAGCCGGTCTGCAGCATCAGCTCCCCCGTGTCCTCCACGCAGGGCCCCGCGAACACGAGCAGCTTGTGCTGCGACGCGTCCGTGATGAGGTTCCGCAGCTGGGGACGGAGGGAACGTGAGGACAGGGGGGTTTTGTGAGGACAGAGGGGGATGTGAGGACAGAGGGGACGCGGGGACGGCACTTGGATCCACCCCAGGGCCGCCGTTCCCAGCTCACCTCGTCGCACAGCGACTTGTCGGAGGGGTTGAGCAGCACCAGGGTCTCCAGAACATCCCCGCGGTGGTGGAGGGTCCTCTGACCTGCCGGGAGCAAGGGCTGACCCCAACCCTCCCCAAAATCGGGCTGCACCCCCACCTGGGCCTCGTGGCGGGGGTGGCAGGGCCAGAGCCTGCCCGGTTTTCCGGAGGAAGAGGGACAGCCGTGATCCCGCTCCGGACACCGCGGGGGCCAAAGGACACGTTTCCCGTGTCCTTCCTGCCACTGGGAGGGGAGGAAAGGCAGGGGGAGCGGGCTGGGGGAGCCCCTTCTGCTCCCCCAGACAACACAGTGCTCCTGGGTGCTCCTGGGGGCAGTCTGGGGGTGCACGCCCTTCCTAAGCAGGGAACCACCCACTGGAGACCAAACTGACACTGCCGGGGGTGGGACATGGAGGGGCGGGAAAAAGGCACCGGAGCAGCCCCAGCTCCATCTTCTCCACTCCCTTCTCCCATGGAAAAATCACATCCCACCCCGGGCTGGGAGAAGGAAGCGGTTCCTCACGTGGGGGGATCACGGGGTTTGGATGGGGAGGGTGAGCACAAAGCCAAGGCTGTTCCCACAGAAAGCGGGGGGTGGGAGGGGGAGGGTCCCACAGAAGCAAGGGGGTCCCTCCAGCTCCTGGGGGGGGGTTTTCCCCCCTTTCTCTCCCCCCATTTCACCTCTCACGATGCTGGAGAACGTGGCCGAGTGCCGGGACACGAAGAGCTTCAGCTGCTCGTCCAGGTTGCAGGAGGTGAGGTCGATGTCCCACGAGCGGATCCCTGCGGAAAACAGGGGCCAAAAATTCGGGGTGGGGGGCTCAGCACCCACCAGCACCCACACGGTGCCGGTGGGGACTGTCCCTACAACATCCAACACCCCCCCCCAATACTGCCCCTCTCACCTCACCCTGAGCTGGTTTTGGGGGTCCCCAAACCCACCTGGACCCCGACACACCGACACCTGCCCGGCAGGTGAGCGCCCTGTGCGGTGACTCACGGCAGCACCGGCTGTGCCAGCGCCAAATCCCAACCCCCCGGGGCACGGAGCACCTCTGCCAGCACCTCTTCAAAGGGGGTAATTAAGGAATTAACGGCGCCGGAGGATTCGGCACACGCCGGGCTCGACCTGCCGGCACCGGGACAGGCGCCCTGAGAACACCGAGGGGCAGCCCCAAAACACCCCCTCAGGGCTCCCCACGGGGGTTTGGGGGTCTGGCAGCCCCCCCCCCAAACCGCTCCCAGTAACGGCCACCGAACTGGGGGCGATGGTGTAACCGGGGGGTTGCACAACCGTTGGGGTTTTGGGGGGGGTTTGGGGAGGTTCAGGGCTGCCCTCGCAGGGGGACGGTCCTGCCACGGGGGGACAATGGGTCAGTCCCGGCAATGTGAACACCCCCCCCCGCCGGGATTTTGGGGATCTGCTCCAATGTGGGGTGTTCGATGTCACGGCCTGAGACACACACACACACACACACACCCCAGCTCAGGGAGGGGCAGCAGTGGGACGCGGGGGCTGGAGGGGATTCCTGCGGCTCGTGGGGTGAATCCCTGGGGGCTCGGGGCAGGAAAAGGGGCAGATCCTGGAAATGTAGGGGAGCAGATGCTGGGGATCCAGGGCGAGCAAATCCTGGGGGGTCTGGAGCTGGGGAGGAAGCAAAGCTTGGAGACCCAAATTCTGCGGATTTGAGGGGGCAGATCGTGGGAGTTTAGGGGGGCAGATCCCGGGGGCCTGGGGCAGGGGGGGGCAGATCCTGGAGCTGAGGGGCACAAA